CCCCCCCCCCCCCCCCCCCCCCCCCTGGATGTGAACCCTGCATACTGGTGCCCCAGGATGAGTAACTCATCCATCTGATATTTCAGGTCATCTGTTTCTATTTATACGTGCATGTTTTCCATTAGGCGGCTCTGGAAGCAGCGTGCACTTTCCAGGAAACCCTTTGTAAAGGCCTTGCAGCTACTGGGTCCACCACATTTCTCCCCAAATGTGAGAACTTCAATGAAATTGGACGAGCAACCGGGAACCGTTATGATGGTTTGCAGGGGAAACAAACAGTGACCAAGCACTTATTATACCCTGTTTGCCAGCATGGAATTGTGTTTTCCATATTCTGAGATATTGATGAAGGTCTTCTTGAATCCATCTTATGCTGTGGCTTTTTGGACATGATGAACCTGTGCTTGTTTTTGTTTTTTTTCCTGACCTAATATTGATTAAAATCTCCTCACATTCAACGGAGCATGTAAATTACAAGCATTATTCATGTATAACAATCAAACATTGGCAGGGAAAAGATGCCTCCCTTTCACCTCTCATGCTGTAATTTGTCCGGCCAAAAGGTCTCGCTAAATCACTGCTCCCTCAGGCGCTGCCATAACTCTTTTTATAACAGCGCAGATGCTGTTGGCAGAATACATATCATTGTTATTCTCTCTGGCACTGGACGTGCACAGAGAGAGCAGCATAGCTGCTTGCAAAAGGCCAATCAGACCCGAACTGTCGTCCAATTCCCTCCTTCTTGTCCTCTTCTCTGATTTGGTGTAACTTGTGTGTGATTCTTTTGAAGCAGAAATCCGCCGTCAGAAACAGTTAGTGGCAAATTACCAGAGTCTACAAATCTACAAATGATTAATCTCCAAGCAGAGTGTCTGAATGTGGATTCATAATGGAATTAGTTTGAAGATAATGATTGCCGTTTTACATTTGGAAGGGGTTTCAGACGCAGGGAGTTGGCGGAGACGCTTGTGAATGATTTCAGTCAACATCATTTAGAAAAACTGATACATCATTATTACAGATTAGTACAACTGAGTGAATTTGCCTAAAATTGAATGCAAAATACAAGGGACACTTTATCATTTATTGTAGATGATTATTCCCTTATTTAATGCCAGTCAAAGCAGGAGATGAAGATAATCTTTTATACATTTGAGATGTGTAAGAGGGGCGGCAGCTCAACATAACTAGATGCCTTAATATTCTTTTGCTGTCGTCTTTGAGTAACAAAAAATGCCAAATCAACAGCGACATCCGTGAATTTCCTCATTTCAGGTGTAACAAAGTGACAAGAGGGACAATAAACTCCAAATGGCTTTCTTCTCAAATGAAATGAGATTAAATCACTCAGGAGCTGCTGGATGCATCAAACTGAACCAATGTGCAATGGCAATACTTTTATTTTATGTATTGCAATATTTCCATTTGACAAAGTGAACGGGTGCTGTTAACCTGAACAGCCTAAGAGGTAAGCCGTGGTTAAAATCCAATGGTATGAGCATAATATGTGGAAATCAGTGTTCTCCGTTTTGTAAACAAGACATTAAACCCCAAAGTTGCTCCAGTTAGAGGATAGAATCACAATCATCTTTATTGACCATGAATGTGCGCACATAAAATGAATTTGACAGGTTTTAGCATTTCTCTTGATGTACTTACACAGAAATAGAAATAGCAGATAGGAACAAAGGGCAACAAAGCCAAACAAATACAGGTAAACAAAATAGACAGGACTGTTATGTACACAAGTATTGAACAAATAGGTCTATAAATATATATTAAAGAAATAAATAAAAGCACAAATGACCAAGATAGTCGTAAGAAGTGAGGGAATATCATCACGGAGCAACTTCCCCTTAGTGGCTCCTGCAAACACAATTGTATATTTATTAAGTCAACTTGTCTTGTTGTAAAATAAATACAATTACATAACGGTCTTCCTCCATTACCTGTCAGCTGCCTGATGGAGCTTGGTAATAGACCACAGAGCAGCAGCAGCCTGTCACGTCATGCAGTAAAACCTAACTATTACATAAATGCATTACTTTTGAGGTATGCATTAGTTCACCAGGACGTTTTCAACTATTTGTTTCCCAGTGCAACTTGACATATCACAGTCAAAGCTGCACAGGGATCAGAGTTTGTCAAAATTCATTACCCAATGTACCTTTTTGATAAGTAGAAGACAAGGCCATGAAAGAATCTGGCACTTAATCCCTGTAAAAACCACAACATGAAGTTTTTACTCTTTATTTCAAGTTAAGTTTGTATGAATTGAACAAACAAGATATAACATGTTGATCGTGGACAGAGCTAGGCTAGCTGCTTCCCTCTGTTTTCTGTATTTATGCTAAGCTAAATTTAGCGGCTGCTGGCTGTGTCTTTATACATAAACCATACAGATATCAGAGTGGTATCAATCCTCTCATCTAACTCTCGGCAAGAAAGGGAACAAACATATATTTGAACTATTCCTTTTAAGACTTTAATGAGCACACGTTGTGACAATGGCTAAATGTTCAGAGCTTTAATCTGAGAGGCAAACACACTTGAGTCCGGTTGTCTACATGGCCTCTTGCATCTCCTTCTGTGGGAGTGGAGACCTTTTAGAAATCAATTCACTTGCAGTTAAAGGGCTTTAAGAGCGCTGCAGCGTAATCCCACCTCTTAAAAAAAAAAAAAGCAGGACTGTATTCCAGCCCATATGGGTGGGAGCCTGTAATCTCTCTGTGCCCTCTTTCCGTGCGCTCTCTAAACCCTCACCCTCTCTCACCATCCGTCCAGCCCACCGCTTTCCACCAGTTCACATCTGCATGCAGCTGGAATTCATCAGCACATATGGACTGTATATGATTAGGTTTTTAGTAACACTTTCAATCAAAAACAGAGCAGATTAATGATGACAGAATATTCTTCTGAAACACTTAAAGACGATGAAAATGGACTTAGTAGAAATACATCGCCGTTACATTTTTTAAAAGTCATACTTGGACTCAATGCATCTGCATATTTGAAGTAAAATGAAGATGGGAGTGGGGTAATTGCTTCCCAAATGGGTAGAGGCTAAAGTGGTTTTCGTTTTTTTCATGCAAGCGAGATAAATGAGATTCTGATTTCAGTGTCTATGCTGAGGAGTCTGCTCTGCACAGCTGTGCACATGGAAGCTGAAATATTGGCCATTGCCTCAGGTGTAGTTTTGTGTTTACAGCATGCATTTGTCAAGCTAAAGTCATGGTTTGATAGCCATGTGACTCCTCGTGCTGCAGCCTTAACCCCCCCGCCTCCCCTCTTTACCAAGGATTTGCTGCTTGTTGTTGAGCGCTCCTCCTGTCGAGTGCAACGACTGGCCAGGTATGAGATATATACGCCACAGCAGCAGGCCACAGCAGCAGGCCCCATTAGGCAGCGGATCTACAGTAGATGAAGAGAGTCGGTGGTTTGGCTCCGTTCTGTGGTAGAACATAAACACGAGGATTAATCCTTAAGCCCTTCAACAAAGGTTCACTACCATCAGTCCTTATCAGGCTGCATGCAGAGCATGTACTGCAGCCAAGAGAGGAGATAACAGGCGGCGTGGCTCAGTGGTTCCCAATAAATGTTAAAGGCGAGCGTGGTTGCAATCAACTGATCTCTGCAATGGATGAATGGATCATGCGCGAATAAGCATCTTCACACAGAAACTCATACAGCATATCATTTAGAGATGCAGCACGCAAAACAGGGCCACTGCAGTTGACTGCTGTGAATTATGGAGCCACATGTTGTGGAAAACAATTACTTTTTAAAAATGTAATCAGGGTTAGTTTATTGATCAGTGTCAGTAAGAAAGAACAGTGGTCCTGATGAGATACACTTTATGGCCATTATACGGTGTGGGGTCCTCCATCACCACAAACCTTTGTGTCACCGACTTGTTGAATGTGAGCAACATCTTGCAGCAAGATCTTATGGAAAACCTGAAACCAGAAGAGTGGACCCAGTAAAATCAGCACATCAATGTCCATGATTTTGCAGCAAGATGTTTAGCAAACACATGTGCACTCGATGCTCGTGAGTCCACATCCGTTGTAGTGTCCACATACTTTGTGAGCCATGTAGTGTGCTGGTCATAAATCCTTCTCCTGAGCAGATATGTGCCTTATATGAATCATTTTAAAATATTAGTGACATCCACTCAAATGCCGTAATGCCATCAGCAGTTTAATCCAGTATTGGAAATCAAATTTACGGAAAAAAAAAAATAATAATTGAATGATGATTTTACTTTTCATTGCAGATTAATTTCATGTCAAAAAAATGTTGAATAAAGTGCGCTATTGTTTTTTTTTTTTTTATATATATATATATATATATATATATCTATAGTGGTGGACGGCACTGTGCTGTCGTGCCATTAATTT